ATAGAATTTTTATAAAATATGGAGACGGAAGACAAAATTTATTTTTTTTAAATAATTTTAAAAGAATATTTAAACTTATTTTTTTATAACATCTTACTATATTTATTATGAGAAGGAACTTTAATATATTTTTCTCGCATTGGAAATGTCTTAAGTTCCAAATAAATACAACAAAGTACTTTTAAAAGGCTTTGGTTGCACTAAAATACATTTAAGCCCCAACCAAATATGGGAAATTGTTGTTTAATAGAACAACCCATAATTAGGTTTTGAATAGTCTCCGTAGGCATAAGAAATTCAATCTAATTAGTTTCTAATTAAAAAAAAGAGTGGAGACTCCCATGAACATATGTTATCTGTATCGTATGTACAAACTATTAATAATTTAAAATTAAATTCATTCATTTAAGTTATTAGTACATAATATTTTCATTAAGATATAAATTACATTTAAAATTTGAAGCTAAGATTTATTATATATATTATTTATAAATTTACATAAAATATATTAATTTGAAATTAATAATAAAAGAAAAAGAGTGGGGTCGATTGTAATATTCATTTTACAAACCTTTTAGAGTTGTTGAAGTAATAAAAAATTAATTGAACTACTTAAAGACATGATATATAATTATAAAAAAGTAAAAGTTATAAAATATTAATTGTAGTAATTCAATTATGCATATTTGTATTTCAAGGAATTAATATCACGCACATATAAATTATGAATTTACTTCGTCCAGTCGAAGATGTAAAACTTCCAATATTCTAAGAGCATGTTTTTGTGAAAAAAATTGTTAAAAATCATTGTTTTCTAAGAATTTTATATTTTAAAATAAAATTAATGTGAAAAACATAATTTCTTATATTAGACTATCAAGAAAAAAAATTGTATAATTTAGTAGATCTCATAGTAAAATTACAAGTAGTTTATACAACTCAAATGAATTCTTTGTTGCTGCTTTGCTTATAATTATAAGTGAAGTAGCGATAACAAATAATCAATTAGTAAAGGAATAACGAATTTAAATAGATTTATTGGAAAAGTTAATATATATATATATATATATATATATATATATATATTATTCTCCAATAATTTTCACTCTTTTTTTTTAAATAAATACATTTTCTATTTTTATCTTTTTCATTTCTTCCTTCATTTTCTATCATCAATTCCAAATATACCATAAATGATTCCAATGTAATTATCAGAAATAAGAAAAAAAAAGCATGAATATTAAAAAAAACTGAAATAAATTTGGGTATTCGATTGGATTTGATTGAATTGAAAACAGATAATATTTAATAAATAAAATTTAGTAAAATTGATATGTGCGGTCAGATTCAATTGAAACTTTATAAAACCCAACTTAATCCCAAAATATATGTACAATCTTAATAATCTGAATTTGATTAACTTAATAAACTAAATAATTAAAAATAAATGTTAAAATATTAAATTTGAATTATACTGAATTTACCATCCGAATTCACTCTAATCCAATGATTCGGCCTAGTAATTACTATAACAGGAAAAGTATTTTTGTTTGAATTTAAAGGGGATTAAAGTTGCACCTTCGTATTCGTATGATAAGTGAAACAGATATACGCTCCACAAAAAAAAAAAAAAAACTACTAGATTATTGTGAAATTATTTTTGTTGTAATTTTTTATATCAATTGAAACTTTCATATAAATATTATGTATTTCCTGGTAATAATACAGGTCAACCTTACACAAAAGATGATTTTGCATGATGTTATAAACAATCATCAATTTGAACCTGCAGATAAGAGCTGAATATAAACTTTTAAGTATGTAAAACTAGACAGAGAAAATTAATAATTTCGTCAGTAAAAGAGTAAAATGTGGACAAAACTAATGAAAAACTCATTTTCATGTAGGCTCACAACTTTTAACAAATGTTTAAGTTCTTGAAGTCTACCTGTTCTTTTAATTAGGTGATTTCTTCAATCCTATTATTGTATATAATATACATACTCTTTTATTGTTTATTGCACTTAAAAATTTATAAATCGTTAGAAAGAAAAAACAAAAACTCAGAATTGACTACTGTTTTATATATTAATAAATTGGAATATCTGTTTTTGAATTAAAAGAGTATGGGAGAAGTTGATGATATGGATGAGTGTGTTGTATTGTCGTAATAATGGTGATGAGAATTATTTATTGATAGATAGGAAAAAGAAAAGAGAGTGATTATGTATGAACGTGCATTTGGCCAACTTTCTTGTTCCTCGTTACAAAGGGGCAAAGCATTTTGAACTGGAAATTCACAGGTCGCTGTCTCAAGCCAAACTACGATTCACGACCTCTGCAGCGTCAGCAGCAGCAATTTCTGATTCCATTTCCCATCCTAATCATCATTATGCATTCCTAATCAAATTATAATTATTATTATTATCGAACAAATACACCTATAATATGATTCTTTGTTGATACAGGCGTGAAGTCCCACAGTTTTCAGATCGAAAATACACATAAAATATACTATGAATTTTTAAAAGATAAAGCAAAACATGAATGTGTGATAATAGAGGTGTTTAATAATATTAATAAAGAATGAGTAAATTAAGAGGAAGAGTTGAGGTACAATAGTAGAATATACGAGGATGATGACGCGGGAAGGGAATCTGAGATGGAGTGGGCCATGAGAGAAGATAGGCCCACATGAGATGTGGGATGATTGGTCCACGTCATCAACGTTGGAATGATTCAGTCACCTGGTTGGAAAACCGAGCATTGCACGTTACTATGGGAGAGAGAGAGAATGAGGACCATAATGCCGAGACAGCCAAACGTGAACACATTCAAAGGTGTAATCCTAGTTAGCATCCACGTGGCGGGGTTGTATTGGTTGAAGGGTATCAAATGGAAGAATTTGCGTGGGTGGCGTCTATTTTGGAGTGGGGACTCGCCACCGCCCCTAAACTTTTTCAGCTAAAATCTGTCGCTTTACAGCCAATTCCTTGTAACCTTTTTCTTGTGGTAAATATCACAAACAAAAACACTCCTCCATAATCAACTTGCCTTGTGCTACTTTCAAAGCCTAATTCGGATTGCCATCACTTCCTAACATTAGTGTCTCTCTTTAATACTATAAAAATTGGTAGAATGTCGGAATGATATGATTCATGTTTGATTCATCATAAAACAGGGGAATTTAAGAAACCAAAAAAACAGATGCGGGTGGTCACAGATAAAACAGTGAGGACCAATTGAGAAGGATGATAAATAGAACAAGTATTTTCGAGTATTACCTTTAGAATTTTGTCATCTTTCCATAGATTAACAGTGAAAATTGGGATAATAGTTTTAAGAAACGAGACTTCCATCATATTCTCTGCGTTTATGATCGTTAAGATATATTCTGATGATAACTTAACTATCATGTTAAAATATAGACTTTAAATTTAATTCAATTTCAAGTAACCAATTTATAAAATAATTAATATATCCACTTATATTTTAAATATTAATCTCATATCTGTTCAGAGGTGAAGGATTATAAGAAGAGAGGTGAGAATAGAGAGAAGTAATTCATGCTGTGACGTGGAGATGAAAGCATAGGCATGTGGGTCCACGTGGAGTTTTAATCTTTTTGAAAATGGGGATTCCCAAGGCTGTGAGGAATGGAAATGGGCCGATTCAGGGAACCAAAAGTTGTCCACGCAATTAACTTCTTCTTTCTGTTGTTGTTTCTTCTTTCCTATTTTTTCCCACCTGGCTCCACCATTTTCCTTTGAAGTTTGGAGGTTAATGATGCCCATTCATCACGGGTCCCACATCGACCACCGCCCTATTTTCCTTTGTTGCCTTTTCATTGGCCATTTTCCCAAACGTCCTTTTCAAAGTTTCCTTCATCCTTACCGAAACTCTCTAACCTTAAATTTTTTTGTTAAACAGCTTCACTTGACCAGAACAGGGAAACCAGAAATACACCCTTCTTTTCTTTAACGTCATAACACTACATGCCAGAGTTTCCAAACACCCACTGATTTAATTACATTTAATTAGCTCTACAATTAGGAAACATCATTACTTCAATCAGTACAACATCCATTAACCAATACCCGATTTTGGTGTATAGCCATGCTGATTATCTAGAGAAGAGAGGTGATTCGGTACGGTTTCAATTAAAGGGCTTTCATGTGTTGTTGTTGTCTTTCAATATTATTATATCTTTTCTTTATTTGTTTTCCATTATTTATGATTGCTCCATTTTGGGTGCCTAGCTGGCTACCTTTCTCATCGAGGGAAAAGCTGGGTCCATTCTTAAGAGTAGAGGCGTAGAGCACATATTTTAAACTGCTACTATATTATTCCACCAAGACAGAAAATATTAAATCAAATAAGTGGTACGATAATAATAATTATAATAACCAAAACAACCTAGTAAAAAATAATAGGTTTGAAGTAATAGAACTCCAACCCCACCTGGGAAACAGGCTCTTTTATTTTGTAATCCGAGTAAAATACAAGCGATATTAGTTTGATTCTTTGATAATGAATAATATATGACAGAAAATGCTACTTGCTTTAAAATCTTTGATAAGAACGTTTTCAGTCTGCGAGTTGTCTTGCAGTTCATTTAACACTTTTTACGGTGAAGTAATTTATAAGAGAAATCTGGTTCTAAAATGACAATTAGGAATTATACTATATTTGATAAAATGAACCATCAAAAGGAATGCTCTCAAAGTTTTACTGAATTGCTATATATATTATACACGTAGCTCAAATAATTGTAGCGGTAAGTGTGTACATATTTTTTTGTGTTGTTTTGCAGAGATAATAGATAAACAATGGAAAGGAAAAACATTGACAACTGGGCATACTACTAGTGTCTTTTATTTTATGTCAGTGATATCAGCCATCTCTTTGAAAAAGATTCTTCCAACTGATCACACCACACACACTCTCTCTCTTTGGAGTTGCATCTACTGTTCATCGCACTGCACCTCTATATAAACCTCTCTCGCTTTGATCACCTCACTCACAATTACAAGCACTCTTTCTCTCTGTCTTCCTCGCTCGTTTACACATCCTCCAACCTTCAACTTTCAGCTTTTTTTAATCCCCCTCTCCTTTCCAAATGGCCAGTGTTGAGGTAATTCAAAGACACAGTTTCGTTCTTTATTGCCTCTGGTTTTGTACATTCCTTTACTCTGGTTCACGTGTGTAGCAGTAGTTTTTGTGTTTCCTACATGCACACGATGACAATAAAAACTTTAACATAATAACCGTTTCTTCACTTTCTTTATACTTGTCTTATTCACTATATATCGATCAAAGAATCACTTCGGTTTTTTATTACGTGCTGAGGTGCGATCTACCAAGTTATACATATATACGTTGCATTTCCGATGGTAATTAATAGCTAGTCTTGTTATAAAGCACCTTCATGTTAATTTCATTTTTGCTATCCCGATCTATCTTTGTTTTTGTTGCTGCGATATTTGATAATCTCAATATATACAATCCATAAATTATAACTGCGATCGGCTACTTCAACTGCACGAGATTTGCATGGATCAACGTGTTCCATAGTTTTTTTCATCATTGATTTGTTTTTATATGAATCACGAACCTTTTTCCAGTTGACTAATATCTTTGAGATATTCATTGGTGTGTGAAATTGGATTACGATCAACAGTTTATCTGGACCTCGTTTTCATTTTGTGGTATAAAGATCACAGTTCTGTGTATCATCGAACCAACATCATAGATCAATTTATTACGTAACCTTATTTTTTTCCTATAAGTAGATTGTTATTAATTTCTGTAAAGTTCAATCAAACGTAACCCAACTAATTACTGAAGCTAGTTAACTCGCTCGAAACCAGGTTGAGCATCTACTTCAAAATAAAAGGAAAACAATTAATTCCATCACCTCACTTTATAAGCTAAGTTCGATTAAACGATTTACATTTATCTTATAACACGTCAAAGTGGAGATTATGTGATCTTTCACTAGCGTCTCTTCCATCAACTTTATTGGTTTTTCTTGCTTCGGGTCCACCTTAGTTAAGCTTGGAACAAGACTCTGTTAAATATAATTAGAAATGTTACAGGTTGCACAGCAAACACCAGCAACAGTGCAAGATACAGAAGCAACCGAGGTGACGAAGACCGTGGAAACAACCCCGGAAGAAGTAGCAACTGAGGTTCCTGCCACAGAACAACCAGCTGCCGAGGTTACTGCCCCAGAAGAACCAGCCGATGAGGTTCCTAACCCAGAATCAACCACCGAAGAAGCACAAAAGGAAACCACCGAAGTTGCAGCAGAAACAACAACTACAGAAGAAAGCCCAGATGATACAAAAAGCGAAGTTCCAGTTGAAGTTGTGAGCGAGGAGAGAGAGACAAAGGAGACAGAGGAAGCGAAGGCAGAGGAAGAGAAGTCAGCAGAAGAGAAAAGTGAGGACGTGAAAGAAAAGGAAACAGCAGAGGAGACCAAAGCAAGTACTGAAACAGAAGCAGCAGTCACAAAGGAAGAGAACAAACCCACTGAGGCAGTGGAAGAGGTTCCTGTTGTTGAGAAGACTGAAGCATAGACCTATGGACAGTGTAAGAAAAGAAGTTTGAAATGGTCCTACTTGTGGGGATCGGCTCTACCATTTTGCATGCCAAGTTCAAAAGCTTTCTCCTATTTTATTTCTTTAGTTTTATATTATTATTATTATTATTATTATTATTATATTATGATGGTTGTATGGAGGGTATACCTACGTGTAAGCACGACACTTGGCTCCACATCAGCATGCTTGGCAAGGGATGACATGCGTGAGCTTAGGAGTGATGTTTATTGGCTGGGTTAAATGACTTTGTGATGGTGTGTTATTGTGTTTCTTTAGCTTTCAATAAATAATATTTACTTTATAAGTTATACTGTTTTTACATAATAGTGTTTTCCTTTTCAAACTTGTCGTCCACGTTAAACTCTTAATATTGCAAAGTGATTGTATCTGAATATATGTCTTTAATCAAAACGAGTTATAGGTGTGGATTCTAATGAACATGAATACACTTACCTATTTATTAACAAAAAGTATGTGTGAGTTTTCTGCTTTGTACACGCCTCATTTTCCAGGAAAATTACAGGTAATTGGAGGGAAAGTAATAAAAGAAATGAAGGGCAGAGATAAATGGATATATCCCAAATTATTTATATCATATATGTTCCTGAACTTTTCCAATTACATAATTAAATGTTTATTTTAAATCTTTATAATTCTAATTTAATAGAGATTATTTATTGTTTTAAAAAAATTTCAAGCATTAACATTTAATTCCGAAACTAGATGGTAAAGCCATTAAAAACTTATGCAAATTTTAACTAATAAATATTATATGGCAATGGATTAGAACTTTTAAAGCTATATTACTATGCTCTGTAAAAAAAAACTTAACTAAAAGTTGTTTTAATAATCAGAAAACAATTATTAATTGTGAATATTATCATCAAGTGCTAAAGGTCGCAGTCTATAAAGTGAAGTCATCAACTAGAAATATTGTCAAATACAAAACTTATAAAAGTTTTTATTTAAAATTCACTTTTTAAGAAATTGTCACTATTAATGATATAAACACTTGCCATTGCAATTGCATTCAGGACTGATATAACAAACATAAATGACGAAAATTTTCAATTTATCATTTAGAGATAAATAAACCTATCCTACCCTATAATATGTACAGATATTGAGAACCTACATTTGGTGTATTTAACTAAGACCAAAACTACTAGCAATGTGTTCTTGAGTGATGACTCCAAAGTGATCTTCCATAACAGCAATAGACGAATACTCCGGTAAAAACAGACGGTTAAAACATGTGTGAGATGAGGGCAGGCGATTGCTAGGTTCTGCAGTCCTGCAAATGGATAGAGGGGAAGACAAACCGCGGAATCCTTCAACTGGTAAATATTTCACAGATGTCCAAAAGAGAAGCAGAACCCTCCTTTGTTGTGCTGACATTCTCCCAACAATCTGACAAGTTTTTTTCCACAAAATATTATATTAAAAATTAACAATAGCGTCTCCAATCAAATCTCGAAATAATGAGTGATTTAAAATACTTCCACTTAAAACAAGATCCCAATTAACTAATACTAATGGTAATTGGTAACAAGACAGAAGAACTTGTTAGTAAGATTTGTTGCATCTCATATCAATGAAACTACTACATTCGGGTGTTTTTGATGAATTCACCATTGTATAACAAAATTTTAACAAGATTCTGCGATTCAATTTTAAAACAGTTGATTCATATTGTTGGGAAACATATTTTATTAGTCAGGTTTCAGCACAGGAAAAATATGTTTGAAGGTAGAGTATCAAAATTATAATTCATGATTCATATATATATATATATATATATATTGGAAGACATTTGTACATAGCACATCAAATGCTGAAACTGTCAGGGAAGGCTAGATGCTAGAAATCATTTAAATAAACACGGATGAGAACATGATTGATGATCTGGTAGAAAATTGTAGTTTTGAGGTGTAACAAAGAAAACAATGCCTTGGTGGAAAGGTGAAACTTTATAAATAGCCAAGACAGCAATGGTGTTTTGGAGCCCGCTGTGGAGTCTATGATGAAGCCTGTAGTGGTGCCTATGGTGGATCTTAGATGGACCCTATAGTGGACTCTGTGGGGGAGCCAATGCTGGATATTATTGCTTAGTCATAGTCTTAGTCAAATCATGGTAATGTTTATATTGTACATGAATCTTCTATTGTTACAAATATTGATGTTTCTAATGGTGATGATGTAGTAGTAGATTATGATTTCTTGACTGATATACTTTCTTTAGAGAATGTTACTCTCACTATCGATAGTTAGCAGGGTTTATAACATTTAGATTTGTCTCATTGTAATTATGAGACAAATCCTTCTTTTTTGACATATAAGGAAGCTCTTTTTCTAGAGGATTGAAAATAGCCTTTAAATAGGCTAATATGCTTGATTAGAGAAAAAATTCTAATTCTGAGGATGAAAAAATTCTAATTCTGAGGATGAAAAAAAGTTGGTCCAAAAGCTCAATCATGCCAAATAAAATTAATACTAAATCTTACAAAAGGATTTCTAGAAAACTATAATAGGTTTTAAAGGCTTTTATGGATTGTGAGCGAATTTAATATGATGGGGAATTTGATGATTGAGTTTTAATTTTCTAATGTTGTTGCATTGGTTTAATTTTTTCATCATAGGTATTTTTTTTCTATATGTACTATATATTTTTATCATTGAGTTTGGTGTGGTTTGTAGGTTTTCTTGTTTATTTTGCTTTTCTTATTTTTTATTAAAATATTCATGTTATGGCAGTGATGCCTAACATGAGCTTATGGTGATGGTGTTCCAAGAAGCAATGGCGTTTTGCTACACTTGACAAAATAGAAACGGAGACAGACATATGGGACACATGCAATAAATAACTGCGGCCCAATAAAGCCACTCCTTCCTTCTTATAAAATAAAATCATATTAGGGGAAATTGATTCAATAGTTTCTTGAATGTTAAAATAAGTTCTGTGAAATTATATTAGTAAGAATATGTTATGAAAAGAAGAAAAAAAGGGAAGACCAGTATAACCTACTCACCTCCCAAAACCAGGATATCTGACAATCAGACTCTTCATAGTCCTTGTACACGGTATGTGCCTTCCAATCTTCGATAGAGATTGTATTTTCACTCCCATACAGCATCCAATCAAGATCTTCCAGCTCTAAATATTGGAAGAACTGTTGAAGCTTTGAGCTGGAAAGAATATCAGCTAAACCCTGGGCAAAGTTTGCTACCTGCTCAGATATGGATGTTACAAAACAATGCTGTATAAGAAGATCAACATAGTGCTCCCTGTTCTGACTATTAAATACAATGTTTTTCCCTCCAGGACAAAGCTCGACAACTTCCCTGCATCCTAATTCCTCCAACTCTCTAACAAATGTCAGTCCCAATGCATCCGAGTCAATAAAATCAGCATCCATCTCTAATATTTGCTTGCAGCTTCTATACAAGCAAGGATCTGCATCCCGTATATCTTCTAAGCTAACACGAATTCCAGCCAATTGCACGAAAAATACACGATCAAAAACAATACCAACTTGCACCCTTTCCAACAAAGCCAATGCAATAACCCGACCAACGAACCTAAAGTACTCAAGGTGTCGAGGATGTACCTTAGATGCTGCAGTTAAGTAGACAAAGAATAAACTAAACATGATTAAGCAAAAGATCTCTGACAATATCTACTGATAAAGATATATAGCAAAACACATCAGTACTCAACACTATGCAACCATGGTACCTAGTATTAACTAATGGGAACTCAAGTTTAGAGACAAAATGCTAATCATTGGACATGTTACACAATGCAGAATATTGGTACTGATGAAGGTCAACATTTTAGTTTTCTAAAAAATACAACCATATATAAGTATAACAATTCATGGGATACAGAAGATATACATTTGACTTTTCTAAAATAAGTGAAACTTGATTTTGATTTAATATGGATTTTTTTTTTTTAGATTTCACATCGTAGAAATAATAAGAGGCCAGGGGAACCGAAGTAACTAAGGTATGGTTCATTAGGCAACACCCCTTCGAATCTGACATAATCTGAATATCCACATATTTTTCTTTTGGAAAAAAGAGTCAGGTTGGTTGAATTGGACCAGTAATCACCCCCCAAAAGACAAGGTGTCAACATTTTATAAATTTATTGTAATGAAAAAATAATAAGAAGAAAAGAGGAATGTATATACTTTCAGAACTTCAAACAAATTATTTGAAACATAAAATCAATGATGTGTCAAATTCGCTAACATTTCCAACAGTAACATTAATTTAAGTGATTATGAAAAAAGTAAAAGGAATGAATGACACTATCGTTACTAGTCTGGTGGGAACAAGAGAGAACAGCATTACTACTGATGAGAGCATTTATCCCATTTCGATTGCTTGATGGTTTGATACGTTTACCGAGAGTGAAAAAGCATAATTTAGCTTGTCTAACATTGAGAGACGTGTAAAATGATAAAAATATGGTCTATCTACCGCTACCACTGATTTAACGTGTATCACGTTCACAAAATGTTTTGGTTAAAATTGTTAACCTCACTTACACATCTCTTCGCTTTAGATCAGCCAAAATCAACAAAAAAATAGTATGAAGTTAATATCAATGTGGGAAAGAAAATGACACTTTGGCATAGCAAGCCACTGAGAAAGATAAAAAAAAAAAAAAAAAAAAAAAAAAAAAAAAAAAAAAAAGAGGATAGGATTATATAATAACTGGCACATAATTGTGATGCTCAATAGCAGATATCACAAAGCAGAGCCAGTAAATGGAAAAATACATTACAAATGATTACAATCAATTGATGGCTAATAACCTTCAATTGATCCAATCTGAACAGCATAGCTGTTTTGGCTGTGCCGCATTGCCCCCAGGCAATGACGGAGAGAAGTACTGTTCAGAAAAAAAAAAATTACTACATGATGGAGCCCCTTAAAAGATGAAGGTTACCGGATCACGTTTACATGCCAGGGGAACTATTGCTGATAATTAACAAATAAGACCTATTCTCAACTAAACCATGTGGTCGTACCCCCATGTTTGCCACCCTTCAGCTGCAGTCAACAACTAGCACTACGTTTTCACAATTTTTTTTATTGCATTTAAGTTAGAAGCCATTTATGAATAAGTAGGATTTGTTTCAGCTCTCAACTTCCCTTAAATAAACAAGGGTTTTAACCCCTAAACACTAGCTCAACATATTTAAGAAAGGTTGTCACTATTTGAAAATAGTCAGTAAGCATGAGAAAATAACATAAATTTAGTTTCCAGATAAAACTTACCAGGATTCGGATAAAATCTCCTACAGTCATTCGGGCAAGACACAAAAAGAGCATGTCGTGAATCAAATATTTCTCGAGACACCAGAACAAACCACTCCCGTAACACACCCGGTCCTGTAGCTTTCTCGTTTTTGAATTCCATAAACAGACCAGAACGCAGAGACTCTGGCTTCGCTCGTCCTATGTACTCAAAGGACTCCGCCAGTACCTGAGACCTGTCAATAAGCATCTCATGAAGCATGTCAAAGTCTTCCTCGACAGCAGGGAACAGAATCATCGCCAAGTGCCTTCTACACTCAAAATTGGTCACACCCTTGTTATCAAGAACCCACCAATGATCACCACCTCTCTTCACAAACGCAACAACAAGCGCAGACAGCATATTCTTATGAAACCTCAAAACTGTCCAAAACATTTCCTCTGCACCATCGAAGACCTTAGAAGTATCATACAAATCCTTCAAGATACGAAGATACTCAGACCATGAGTAATTGAGAACAAAACCCCTCCCACCAGATTCCTTGCTCGCCAAGCATTCCGCAATGAAGCGAAAACACTCATCCATTTTGCTCAACAACCGAATAAACACAAGCCGAAGATAATCAACTTCTTCCTCAAGCAACTGATCATCATCCTTCTCCACACTACACTTTTCATCATCACCACTCACAGAACCTCCCAACAATTTCTTCTGCAGAATAATTGCATTCCTCAAAGGGGCCAAGAATATTATCAAATCCGAAACTTCTTCCGGCGAAGGCCCCGTGATGGAGAGGATGGTGTTACCACACCGTTTACTATAATCTAAACTCACTAACAACGAATCCACAAGCTCGGGAACAAAGGAAAAAACATTGCGAAGCGAAACCCTCTTTTTCACACTCCCAGAATCATAGGAAACCCCAATTGTATTCAACAAATGCCCCAAAGTGTTTCTACACTTAAGATACAGATAATCATGGTCTCCATGCCCAAACTTTCTAAGCTGCTTGCAAAACTCCATCACCGCGCCAATGGAACCCCCTGCCAATTCTTCGTGCTCACGCAACTCGTGAAATTGATTATGCAAGACGCAGCTAATTGCCCGGTTCTGCGTCACGTGACGAGTGGTAGATCGAAGCCAGCATGGTGGGGGCATTAGAGGCTGCGTAAAGCTCCACAAAACCAGGGAGGTTGAAATGGCGCATGGTGAGAACCTTCACGGTCGTCAAGGCCGCACACGCGCTCCGTGTGTTGCTGGTAAACACGTGCGCAAGCAGGGATAGCACGTAGTCGATAGGGCGTGACGCCGCGGGGTACAATCCGCTGCGCAAGTGACCAACAATGTTGAGATTGGAATCGTTCTCGATGCCGGACTCCACCAGAGTCTTCTCCGATTGAAGTTGCTTTCCCTTGTATATCACTCTTAGTTCTCTCAGCGGCATTCCCGTCACCCACGCGATCTTCCCAAGGACAGACTTCACGGACTCTTCCGGGTAACCAGTCATCACCATGCTGGACCTCGTTGACACCGTACGGACGGAGAATTGAAATGCCCACCGCAACGGATTGGCGGATTCTTCTTCTGCGCCAGACATTAATGGCGCCGCCGGAAAATGGTCGGTTGTTATTGACGGCGGCTACTGCGGTCAAAACAAAACGTTAAAGTCCGTCACGGCCTCCTCACTGTCATCTTCGTAAGGATTTTACTTGTATAATACTAACAACCAGTATATTTACTTGTATAATACTAATAACCAGTGTATTTACTTGTATAATACTAATAACCAGTATATTTACTTGTATAATACTAATAACCAGTATTATTAATTAAGGAAATTAATTATTTTTAATAATTGTTGTTACTTTTAACATGATTATGCTACAAAAATACTAAGAAGGTTAGTGCTCCCAACAGTACTGAATTATATCCTCTCATGATAGAAAAATAAGACTCATCTTTATTTTAAAAAATTAACTTCTATGTACATTTTAATACTATTAAAAGATTAAAATCGATATAATTTCAAAATAATTATTATAGGAAAATATGATAAATTACTACTGTGAAAAATACCAATTACTCTTCTATTGTCATACAATAAGATTTTTATCATTAGCGAAAGGAATTCTTATATTCAATATCATGTGGAAAAGCTAGTTAAATTAAATCTTTAGTGAAAAGTTACTTAAAAATGTCATTATTTTATCATATTCAAAATCAATGTCTATTATTTTATGATATTTAAATTTTTATAATACAATATTTTAACAGATTGTTATTAAATTACAGTAACCAACAGATCAGATATTATATTTCAATACGTATTTAAATAATTAAAAAATAAAACTACTAAAAATACAACAAATTTTCTATATCTGAACAGATAAATAATTAACACAAAATCAAACATTAATTAATAATATAAAAAGAAGAGAAAGCAAATAATAAACCTGATGAGAAAAAACATCTTAGTGATATATACCACCTCCTTCCTGATCAGTGTTGAAAGAAGTGTTGTCTAATACACAGATATAAATTAGACTTAATATCCTATTTTGTCCCAAGTTTCGTTTGACAATGTCAAATTAATCTATCCTTTAAAAAGTGCGTCAATTACGTCTTTACTTAATAAAATTTATATCAATGAAATCTCTTCCGTTAAATCCGTACAAACGGATGTAATTGACACACTTTTTAAAGGATGGACTAATTTGACATTGTCGAGCGAAATTGGGGACAAAATAGGGTATTAACCTTATAAATTAAAGTAAAAAAATATAAATAAAAAAATATATAAATTAAAGTGAAAAAATAAAAAAATAAAAAAAATAAAGTGAAAAAAAATATGTATAAATTAAAAAACCAAACGTTCTTAATTAAGAAACTAGCGATATATATTTAATTTTTTTTGTCAGCAAGTTGTATAGGAATAGTTTTTCAAATATATAATCAAGTGAAGAGAAAAAGAAAACAAAATTATTCATGTGGGACTAAGCTAGTAAAAAACCTGATTTTGGAGTATTTATTCATTTTAATGTATTAGTAGGCAATAGTACTGTAATGTCTATATGAAAAAAAAATTAATTTAAAATTAAATTGTAATATGAATATATATATAGATATAATCTATCATATTATATATTATATATTCTATATATATATATTGAAAAAAAATCAATAAATTATTCGTAATTACGTATCAATTAGTTTTTCATTGGAAGATTAAAGATATATGTTATCTATTATTAAAATGTTACTTCCAAATCTCTCAAGCATTTAAACAACAAACTCTATTTAGTCATATAATCGCAAAGTTGCACCAAGCTTGGAAAGTGAATGGAAAAACATCCAACTACAAAAATTCAGTTTCAAATGTCTCAAACATTTAATATTCAATCAATCCACAAAATACTTTAATTTTAAATTTCACAAAAATAAGATATTTTTCACTTCACTAAATTAATATACAGTTCACACAATATGCACCTAATTTCAATTTGTCGTATACTTTTGAAGTTTTGTTATGATGTTAGGCATTGTAATAATATATTAACAAAAGAAGCACATTGATTTTTTGTTTAACTATTGAAATTACATTGAGTTTCCCACTTAAAAGAATAAGGCTTAAACATAAACTTGATTTTATTTTAAAACATTTCAGATTCAATCCTAAAAATAGCATGATTCATATTTATAACCATAATATTTATCAATAACAACTCAACTACACAAAATGCTTAATTATGAATATAATATTTACTTTTATACATTTTGAACATGTAAGTTTACTCGAATTGGACTAACATAAAATTTGCATTTGATGTTTTGTAATTAAAATAATTAAATATGTTGATAATTGATTTTGTTAATATATTATTCATTATTTGATGATTCATATTTATTTTATGTTTGTAATTGAAAGATTTTTGTTGAAATATTATTCAATTTTTCGTGATTTTTAATTATTTACACAATAATTTCATATATAAAAACTAAATATTTATATTTTCTAATTTATTAAATAAAAACCTTAATTATCTAAATAGTGATAATAAAAATACTAATGAAAAATAAAAATAAACAAAATAAAAACAATGGTAATGTCAAATATATTTTTTTATTTGGATATTTTATTCAATAATTAAATATTAATACATTTTAATTATTTTTATCTTTCTTATATTCTAAAAGAGTATTTTTATTTATTGTTTATATTTAGGATTCAATGTAGCATATTTTGAAAACCAATTTTTACTTAAAATAATTTTATTTTTATTTTTAGAATCATATTCTAAAAGGTATATTTTAAAAAGTTAAAAAATTAAATTAAAATAGTTTAAAAAATGAATGTAATAAATATTTAATTATTACAAAATGATTAAATTAATTTTAATTCATTAAATAATGATTATATTCTCGTTAATTTTTGAAAATAAAAAATAGATTATTAATCAACAATCTTTTATATATACTCAATCATTCATTTACTGCCCTTTACTAAAAGTGAACAGTAACTCTGGCAAAACACCATTTTGATGTAATTTTTTATAAAAATTATTAAAATTAACATATTTAGAAAGGTTTTATTCAAAATATTTGTAAGTTAAAATTATGTCATTGTGACATAATTTAGAACGTTTTAAATTAAAGTTTTATTACCTTAACACAATTTATATTAAAATTGAACTAAAGTTACATCATTCTAGTACTTTTCTTTAATGAAGTACTCTTAGATTGAAACTTCTTTAAAAGTTATATATGTATTCAAATTTATAATATATATATATATACACACACACTAAAATAAACGTAATATATATTTTTTAAAAGAATATTAAAATATGAAAAATTGTATCATTTTGTTATTATTGTTAAATTTTTTAGAAAACTTATTTGAATAACTATAATTGAAGAATTGAATTTACAAAGTTTATTTTTGATGAAAAGGTTATTAATGTATAATATTTACTAAAATATATATATGTGTAATTTAATTAATTAATTTCATTTATATATATAATAGATAATTTAATGTGACCTAATGAATGATTGCGCGAATCTAAATCATAAAATTGAGTTTTAAGAATTTGAATTGGGGCAAGCCATCTTAAACTGAAACCCAATTGGATGATCCATTTTGAGTGGCCCTCGTTGCTTGTCTTTCTCACTGTGGAGTGCAATCAATGAACTCTCTCTTATATTTAAAGCAGAAATTGAATATATGAATGTTTTTCAAATAACATGAGGAACTTTTGTCAACGGCTGGCAGACATGAAAATCACTATGATTTATTTGTTTTGTGGTGTGGATTATATCTATAGTTTTATTAGACATGTGAGGTTTGCCAAAGCTTATTCATTTTTAACCTGTTAGTCTCATTTTTAACCTTGGTTAAATAACAATGACAAAGAAGGAAGAGTCAACACACTCTGAGTAGGTAAATTTATTATAATGTCACATTTTTTTAAATATTAATGTATTTATTGTTTTGGTTTAGTTTTGTCAATTCTGTTCATATATTTTTTTTTTCAGTTAAACTTAAATTTTTGGTCAACATGTTCGGTGAAATAGATAAATTTGGTCCTATGCCATATTATTTTTATATGAGGTCATTCTTTTAACAAAAAATGATAACAAATAGAAGGTTAACGTCATAAGAAAAATATAAAGAAAAGGATAAAACAAAATTAAGAAGTGATTCACAAGATGCAAATTTTTTTATCAATTAAACTTTTGATAATAGTAGTACTGTTTGGCCCTTTACCATTCGGTTTTACTGTTCGTACCGTTCGACTCAAACTCTCTTCTTCCTATTATGAGAAAAGAAATGATGAAATTTATATTTCTTATTTCATGATAAAGAGAGAGTACAATTTACATATACATATATATATATATATATATATATATATATATTTGTTTGAAACAATATAAAAACAAAATATAAATATAAAAACAAAATATAAATATATGAACATAAATTCACAGATATAAACAGAAAATAAATTAAATCCAATACCCCCTCAAGCTCCATTATATATATCCTTAATGTTCAGCTTGGACAACAAAGATTGAAATTGTGCTAGATACAAAACTTTAGTATGAATGTATGTAAGTTGTGCTGAAGTAGGAATGGGCAGGAGCTTAATTACACCAGCTTGAACTTTATCTCTTATGAGATGACAATAAATTTCAATATGCTTTGTCCTCTCATGCATGGCTGGATTCTGTGCAATTTGTATAGCAAATTGATTGTCACAAAACAGAGGAACTGGTTGTGGTAGAGGTTGTTTCAAATCATGGAGCAAATACAGAAGCCATTGAATTTCACATGTTGTGGAAGCTAAGGCTCTATATTCTGCTTCGGTTCATGATCTAGATATAATACCTTGCTTCTTGGATTTCCAGCTGATTAATGATGCACCATAGAACACATTAAAACCAGTCACAAACCTTTTAGTGTCAGGGCAAGCATTCCAATCAGAATCACTAAAAGCCTTGAGAGCATGTTCTGTGTTGGAGGGAAAGAATAATCCTTGTCCTGGATTGTTCTTGATATATCTCAGGATCCTTATTGTTGCTGCATAGTGATCTTCCAAAGGATTGGAAAGAAATGGACTGAGAGTACTAATAGCGAAACATAAATTTGGTCTTGTATTGGTTAGATATAGTAACCTGTCAAGAAGTCTTCTATAGGCATGCACATCTGAATAAGGTTTCCCTTCTGTCTTGGAAAATTTTGTGCCTAGCTATATGGGAGTAGAAACAGGTTGACATCTGATACAACCCAAATATCTGTTGGGTCAAACAATATATTGGACAAAGAAACAAAAGAGCAAAGGAAATGGGGACAAGTTTATAGCAGGAGAAAAAAATAAAGGGGTTGAGGTGGACAAAATTAGTTAGAGAGAGAGAATTGGAGGATCCTAGAAGATTTCCTTTTTCTTTATTACCTTTATAGTTTCAGGGGAGTGTGTGGGGGTGGGGATTCTGTTTTTGAACAAAATTAGAGTGGAGAGTACCGTTTTGGTCTCTTAAGGAGCCTAGCTCTGGGCAGTAGGGTTATTCCTTCTGTTTTTTCCTTGATTTCAATGAAACATGATCTGTGATCCTTTCTATATTCTCTTTCCAAAACTCCTCGTCATCAACTCCATCATTTTTGTTTGATTTTCTGCAGCTTCTTTCCTCATCTCTTCTAGTGCTGAATGATTTTGAGATGCTTGCAGACGCAACTCTTCCATGATCGCTTTCATTCGAATAACTTCTTCTTCAAATTATCCCATGACAGCACCTCATAATCGTTTAACAACGAGTTGAAAAAGTGGAGTGTCCCTTCCTTCCATGCACAAATGAGCCAGATTTACTTTCACCACCTCGCTGGTCTCCTAAACCTTGAAGCAAATCTCCGCTCTCGAAATCCATCCCGCAAGGTCATCGCCATTGAATGTTGGTAACTCAATCCATTTTACTGATTGTCGAAACTCCGCCAGAGCATCCCCTTCTAGGGCTGTCAGACTCGCTCCAACCTTAGTGTTTTCCTTAGTTTCTGTTTTTTTGTTTCCCACCGAACCTTCACAGTTTGGATTTTATGGATGCTTTCCTTATTTAATTTTTTTTTCACTTTTTTAATAATTTTTTTTACAATTAATTTTGATAAAAAAAATAATTTGTAATTTATTTATATTTTTTATTTCAATAATTAAAAAATCATTCATAACTTAATAAAATTTTCATTATAGTAAAAAGAAAAGGATACACATAACATAACATAGTAAATAATAAACAAGACATGTTTAAGTATAAAGAAAAGTAAGTGTTTGTTTATGTTTGTGAAATTTGGTATGATTGCATACTTAATCATTTGATAGAAGAAAAAACGAGTATTTAATTAGAGGATGACAAAAAAACCTCTGCGTGAGGGTATTCGTAAATAAAATTCGTGACGGATAGTTGATACCCATAGATATTTACTACCTGTAGGTTGCAGGTAGCAGATATTTTAATATGCACTTATAAACCGGCGGGTATTATATTGTTTGTATCCGCGCATATCTGTTATGTGCAAAAAATAAAAATAAAATTTTAATTAATATTTTATAAGGTTAAATTTAATTAAAATTAAATTTATATTATATTATATTTTTTATAGTTTTTATAATTTTATTTAAATTTTATTTTAATAATTTATAAACATATATATTTTTAAATATTTGCGGATATCCGCAAGTATCCACAAGTATCCGCGAGTATTTTTTAGACAGATATATGTATGGATAGTGAATGGAAAACAGATGAATTTTTTTTTGAGTCGAATTGCGGATAATATATGTGCCGATCCGACCTGTTATTATTCTAATCTAATTGAAATCTTAATCGCTTGATTAAAGAAAAGGCAATAATCTACCTAAATTTATGGATGTGATCTTATTACGGTCTTAATCATTATATTTATATTTATGAAATGTTAAATTTAGTTATAAATTTTGCTTAATTTTATAGTTCGAAGGACTATTATTAAAAAGGTTATATTATGTTAATTAATACCTATAAATTTAGATGAATGAATAGATCTTTATTCATAACAAAAGAATATCTCTACTAATAAATTATCTAAATAATAAAAATGAGAATATTTATATATAAATAATTCTAGTACATTAAATTAAATAAGAGTAATGAAGAAAAGACACTTTAACACACGTAATTGTTGAATGAAATGTATAATACTTTAAGATCATAAGAGTAATTGTCATCATGAAAGCACATTTTAACTAAAAAACCGAAATAATATGAAAATGACAATTATCATATACTAAAATTTTATAATAACCTTTGGAGTCGCTTGGTAGTCACGGGTTCGTAGTGGCTGCTAATAGGCGGCTTGACCATATCCGAATCTGCAACTGCAACTAGCCGCCGTCGTATATGGGTGTTAAATGTTTATCAATTTCATTTCATTTTCAATTATCATAAACTTCTAAAATC